TGGAAGCTTTCGTCTGCGTGTCTATTTACGACGCACTTCGTTAGCTGTAGGCTGCCTATGAAGCGTCTTGCGCGTCTAGCGTGTGCATTATACGCGGCACCGAGTTATGCACTCGCGCACGTACACCACCTACTACCCCATGCCGGAGCAAGCAACTAACCGACCGACGAGGTTGCGGCCAACGAACGAATGGAAATCATTCTCGGGAAAAGAATCGAGGAAGTGGAGCGCGAACGTATTTCGAGAAGGGACGGTTTACGCCGTGCGGTTTATCGAGGCTGGGGATGCGAGACGTGCATTAACCCTGGAACGCGACGACACCTTTTTTTCTTTTTTATTTTCCCCTGTCTTTTCTCTCTTTTTCTTTCGGCAAATGGACGTCGAGCTAAAGCTAAAGAAAGAGGATACCTTCGGCTTAGCTCGGCTTGGCTTTCCTCGTGGCAACAACGATCCTCGCGGGACCCGTGAAAAGAGAGAATCGAAGAGAGGATGGAGACAATGGACAAACGAACGAGACACGGCCGAGAGAAGAGCACAAAGCGTGTACGATAACTCGAGTCCGATCGATAAATTAATTTTCCTCCCTCGCATCTCGAGGGAAAGAGAAAAACAGAGAGAGAGTATCGATCGAGCCGAGATAATGGCGCGAACTAGTTTCGAGCCGCGATTTATAATTTATTAATATCGATCGAACGGTGGTGAAGTATGACGCGTATACGACGTACGTATATATACGCACGTTGCAAACCGATACCTTCTCGAATTACCGCTGGTCGCAATTGAATTAACACAGGTTGGAAACGAAGCTTGGTCTAGACGGGACAGTAGTATTACGGGCCCCGTGAACGTGACTGCGCATACCGTTGTCCCTGCAAAAGAACACGAACGATCCGCCACCGAAAATAACGATTAAACGGATCCATTCTCGTGGATCGACGACAGTGCGGGCTAAAATTGTACGCGGTTAAAATAAGGAAGGATATCAAGTTTGAGAAATACACGCGTTGCAATTGGAAAAGAGAAACCGATCGGAACGGATAGATTTTAACGATCGGGTTTGACCCGATGAAAAAAAGAAAAAAAAGGAACGCGAATATTAAACGGGGGAGGAGGGGAGGGGTAGAAAGGAACGGAGAAAGAATACGGGCGTGATTGAACGCGAAGGGGGGAGGAGAAATTCGTGGAGAGGACAGGGATGAGCGAGGGTGAGTCGAGAGGGTGAGGTACAGAGAGAAAGACCAGCGGCTGAAAGTAGGTACTTCGAGATATCGACCGTGTGCCACAGCCTCGGAACCTGTGTACGTGCCGTGCACGTTTCCCGTTACCACTTCTCGCCGCTTTTCTTCTTGCCGAGCGATGAAAAAGGCCACACCGTGGGATACCGCTCTCTTTTCTTCCTTCTCTTCTTCTTCCTCTTCCTCTCCCTTCCTTTGCCCCTTGTCACCGCGAAAACTTTGAAAAACTTTCATCTCTCGAGGCCCTCGCCTCATTGCCACCCGTCCCCTTGCCTTGGCATCCTCCCGCCAGTGTCAAGAGATGATTTTCCGCGAGGAAGGTTCGAGTGAAAGTTTTTCGCAAGGGAATTATAAATATAAGGGATCGAACGAAAGCGTGCATTTATCGAAATACAGGAATGTTTCCTGTTTTTTCGAAGGAAGAGAAATCTATGTGTATCGATCGAAAAAGTTCAAACGCGTATTAATAATAATTCCTCTTTTCCTCTGAATAACGCTAATAGCGAAGCTGATCGAAAGTAAAAAAGGATGACGTGGGTAGAACAATCGAGGAAATATCAACGGGTTACGCACGAAGGAAAGAGGCGGAACGCGGAATCTGGTATCGCTATCTATGGTATCTCGCTAAATATCACGATCCTTTATCCGGCGATAATCATCGAAGGGCAAAGAGAAAAAACAAAAAGGGAAAAATGCCTGACACGAGTGTACAGGCTCGTGCGGAACACAATAAAGTCTGCGCCCCAACCCCTGAAATGCCAGCGTGACAAAGGGTGGTTAAGCCCTTCTTGACGAAGATGCACCATACCGAGCCCCTGATATTCCCGTGCAGACGTCGCGACGCTGTGCAATCGCGCTCCGCGCCGATTTTCAAATATCATCCTTCCCCTCCCCCCTTCGTTACGCGCTTCCTCTTTCGTTCGTATCCTCTCCTCTCCTCTCCATCTCCGCGAGGAGGTCGAAGGAAGAATGGAAGGAAGAAACGTCGTTCGTTCGCGCGATTGATCTCTAACGAGAGACATACTCTCTCTCTCTCTCTCTTCTCCCCTTCGCGTACGCAAATTATCGATCTCGCGACCTAACCTTTTTAACGGGAGAAAAGAACGGCCGTGGCGGGCGAACTCTCGGCAGAAGC